GATTCTAAGGGCTTGAAGGGAGGTGATGGTAAGGATAGCAGGCTTCACGCAATGCACATGATGACTGGTTTTGAAGAAAAAAAAATGTGATGAGGATCCCATCTGCTTGAGGTCTGTCTGAAAGGTCAGGAGAGGAGCATCAGGGGCAAGAAAAGCCTTTAAACCTCACAGCAACCTTCAAACTATTAACTAGCAGTTCAAGTCTTTCAAGAGGACAAGCTGTGTTTTATCCGAAAGGTCTGTTGAGAATTAAAGCATCATTAAAGCACAGTCACAGCAGGGTGAAGTGATCTAATGTGCTTCCTCACATCTCCAGAGTTCATTTGGAGTATCCAACACTTTCACGGCAATTAAAAACGGTTAACTAAATGTTTTTGTTGGTCCAGCGTGAACATTTAGATTTCTTTTCCCCAGTGTGCATTTTATGGTTTGTTTCTTCATGCTCTCACAGATCACCTTAAAAAAATAGGCAGTGCGGCATAAAGATCTAAAACGCATATATCCGTTTCATAAAATGTTTCTTGTACCCGTATTTCGTATTTTTATAGAAAATTTGATGAAGCATGTCTTGTCTTAAAATGGCTATGATTCTTTATAAATATGTGGCACTTGGTTAAACCTGGAGAGGCAGAGTGATCTGTGCTGGGTGTGTTTAGGGCATTGTGATTCTGAGCAGGCGCGTTGTTTTCCAAAATTTTAATGCCCAAAGGAAATGAAGCAGAGAAAGAAAAGCTTATCACATCTGGAATATATTTCAAACTAACTGTAAAAGGTTGTGAAACATCTCCAGAAGCTAAACAAAGTTCTTCTTAGTCTTTCTCTGTTTTCTATTTTTGTTTTTGTTTTGTTTTCTGCCCCAGTTGGCTGATTAAATCTGTATGACTCACCTCTGCCTCCTGGTCTCTGCATTTGGGTCCTCAAAANGCTATTTTTTTTTAGTATTTTAATGGCTATTTCACCTGATGAAACTATGTTAAATCCATCAATCAAGCATGAATTTGTACAAAATACAATTTCAGAATATGCTACTATGATACCGTGAATGATGTGGTTCCCCATCCTGGATGTCAATCAATCAAAATAAGGAAGCTGCCCTTGTCCTTTCAATATGCAGTGCATAAGCAAAAAAAAAAAAAACTGTCATTACTTTACTAAAATTAATTAGTCACAATCATAAGAAAATGGCAAAGATGCTAAGAAATCAGGCTTAGGATATGTTTAAGTCTGGTTTATACTCAAACAAAGATTTCTAGAGGCCTGAAGGTCCTACCATCATAGTATTCAAGATAGAGATGGACTCAGTATAACTAAAAAAATTGTGCAAAAACAGTGTTTAAAACAAAAACATAAAAAAATACACTAGCAGGACACAGTAACCTTTAGGAAAAACCTGAGCGAGCTACTGAGGTATAGATTTAAACACTTTTTAAGAAAACGTGACCGTGCCCCTTTAACCTCAAAACAAAATAAAACACCTTGTGAAGATGGTTTGAGAAGCTTAAAATAGATCACTATGCTCATTCAAACAAAACCATCTAGACTAATAGAAAAGAATATATTGAAGAATATGTAGTGTAATGCGGACTCGGGGCATTTAGGTTTCACTAACCCCACAATTCTTTCCAGGCCTAATCAGGCTTTTACCTTGACAATAAACCTGATTCATTCCTATTCATGATGGCCACAATTCTAAATCACTATTAAGGTAAAACCTTGGAGGGCCCCTGGAGCAGGGTACGTGGCACTAATCATGCCCACTGGATGCTGAATAATGAGATTCTAATTGGACAATAACTAATGAGACAGGACATGAGTGGTTTACCGATATCTCATGAACCTTTGAATGGAAATTAAAGCAGTTGTATTATGCAAAGGTCTAATCAGAGTTTACTGTTGTGCTGTTAAAGAATTGACCTGAACAGTCCTGCAGGGTGCTATTTTATCTATTTATTTAGCCCCTATTTTGCATAAAACAACCCAAAAGGGGTTATCCTCACTGGTGCCTCTGTCTCAGATTGTTTTTAGAAATGACGCATAAAGCAGCCATGTGTCAGGATATGTTCTGTCCTTTGCTCAGTAAATTTAAGCGGCATACAGATGAGATCAAGTCTTGTCCCATTTGGCCTCAAACAAAGTGATCCATTCTCCCTCACTCATCAACAGCAGCACTGTTGACCCTGCGCTTCTGGTTCATGTATAACAACAGATGGGTAGGCTCCACTGGCTTATGAAAAAGCTGCAATACAAACCATAGTCTACTGAGGTTTGTCAGTCACAATGCAGTTGAAGTCACAGGTTGAAATACACTGTATATAAAGAAACATATTTCCTTACTGATTGAAACTAAACCAAATTGAATGCTTTCTGTTTTAGATCTTTTGAGTGTATCTAAGAAAGTTTTATCTCAGAAATACCAGAGTAATAATAGGGGGATTCTTTTGAATCTTAATTTTTTTTTTTTGCTTTTTCACATTTAGCTGTTTTCAAAACGTACAACAGTATTGAACAGAATTTTTTTCTATGGCTTCTGCTGACATTATGTCTAGCGTCTCAAGTTTCTCACCGAAATTTTGACTCATTCCTTTGGACAAAATTGCTGTACCTAAAACAAGATTATAGACTCTCTAATTTATTCATATTGTAAAAGTGGCTTTAACAATGGCCACTCTGAGACATTGGGTTTTTATATCCTGAAGCCAATTTTTTTACTAGTTTCATGGTTACTTAGAGACATTATCCATTTGTTTGACTTAGTTTTGTTCAAATCCTACTGATGTCTTGAAGCACAACAGAACAGGTTTCAAAATTAAGGTCATTGTCTTTAAGTACATCTAGAAATTGTCATCTTTCTTTAATTAATAACTCCTCTTTCTCTGAGCCATTTAGTCCATATTGGCAGGAATGGTTTCAGTGGTTAAGTTAAGAATGTTACAAAGCCGTGGCACCATCATCATATGGGCTTTCTTAAACTGACTGGATGCATAGGTCTTGTGATGTGTGTAAACTCATAAATCTGAGAAAAGAAATGTAAACATATCCTAAATTATTTCAATCTCTTATTATTTTGGCATAGAGAATAGAAGGATAGAATAGATTAATCCTTTATCCTCCCACAGTGAGGAAATGTTGGTGATTCAGCAACAAATAATACTATTACAACAAGATAAAATACTTTACAATTATTAAAAATGGCATACTGTTCGTGCAACTGAATAGGATAAGTTAAAAATGTATGTATAGTTGTGCATAAAAACGAAAAAAAAAATGCTATACATTAAGATTTACAAAATGGTAGCAAATACAAAAAATAAATAATCCCAACTCGCTGAACATGAAATATGCTATGAGTGTCGTCACGGCATCTCTGTGGCTTTAAATTTTAATATTATGTTAACTGCAAACTTTGTTGAGCAGTACAATAACGTTTGGGAAACCATTAGCAACAAAGGAAAAAACAAAGAAAAGATATGATATGAGGAGAGGACTTTGGCGTCTCGCTCAGAACCCCTCTGAGCATGTGACTCTGACCCCGACGTCTCCCCATGGGGGACATAGAGGTGACTTTGCAAAGTGATCCGCAGACTGCTGTGCTGCTCTTGAGTGTCGTTATGGCGAGTTACAGAGCAAATGGATACTTGCATCCTCATGAAAACCAACAAAGGGATATGTGCTGTATGTACATATTCAACTTTGTATGTTCAAGGGTCTTCTACGGCCCAAGCCAGCTTCTGCTCCAAGAATCAATCTTTATTAAAAAGGATAAGACTGAAGAATTGATTTAATGAATGCGGCCTCATGTCCTGCAGCCACATGTAATCCGCAAGGAATCGTCGAGCACCAGCTCAGGGGGACAAAAAATGTTCGCAGAAGACTAGTGGAGTGGCCAGTAATGACAGTCTCCATATAATCCTATAATTCCTTGTTTAATTAAACTCTGTAGCTGGCCTTGAGACTCTGCCAGCTCTGTTGCTCTTTTGTTCTCACAGTTGTTATTTGGAGGCGAGGTTTGAGTGTTCTCTTGTCCACTTATACCGAAACATTTGACTGGAGTGAGCTTCAACAAAGAGCCAGAGTCAGGTGTGCATTTTCTCTGCAACCGGATGGCAAAGGGCCTCTGTCAGAAACCGAAATCTCTTCACGCACCCTTTTCTTTAACATCTTTCTTTATTTTCCCTTCTCCCACACTTTCTGGACTGTGCATGATGCAATCCAACTAGGCCTGGAGCAACTGGCACATCACTCTGCCTTGTCAATGTCTCAATGAGGAAATTATGAAAATAAGAATTTTATGACATGAAATGAAAAGGGCCATGTAGTTTGAATAGACATGCAGAGGAGGTGAAAATGATGCAATTTTCTAAATTCAGTTATAATGGTAATGTGCAATGGTAATGCGTATTTGCTGTCAAAAAATGTCCCTGTCGGCCCGGATTGTACAGCTTTGTGCTGTATCTGTGTTCCTCGAGCAAAAATTCAGCTTAGTTGAATGCAGAAAAAGTAATGTAGAAAATGCTTTAATTCATGCAATGACAGCAGGTGGAAACACATGGGGATGAATGGTTTTGGTGCGATATTGTGCTCTATTTTATGCACTTTGGCTGAGCTGTGTATGAGCAATGTGCCCTGGGCCAATGACAGAGAAAAGCAGGGTAAGGAGCAGCAAGGTGGCCTCTACAGATTAACCCCACTACCCATTGGCAGCCCTCTCCCCCTCAGCTCTCTGCCTTCACAGCCTCTGGGGCCCCTCTTCACGGGCAGGATTGCATATCAGGGCCTCTACTATATTAAATAAATATCCACAGATTAAGATAATATTCTCCCAGTTGTGTATGGAAAGAAAAGTAGCTGTCACTTGAATCCTCTCTGATGCAAGCCCTGCACTCATGAGCGACAAAAGAGGCCTTTTTTAGAATGCAGATAACGCTGTTATTTTCTACAAACAGCTAATGCTCCCAAAGGCCCCATGACTAGATTCTCATTATGTTTCCCCTTCACATCAGGTAACCGCACAGACGATGGCTCGGATGTTGATTCAGAGCCAGATTTGCCACTGAAGAGGAAGCAGAGGCGCAGCCGCACAACCTTCACAGCAGAGCAGCTGGAGGAGCTGGAGAAGGCTTTTGAAAGAACACATTACCCTGATATCTACACCCGGGAGGAGCTGGCTCAGAGGACCAAACTCACAGAAGCTAGAGTACAGGTGAGACCAGTGAGCCGTACTCAATTAAACATTATTCAAAGCTAAAGAAGTTGGTAGAGCTCATAAAGAATGGCCTTTCCATCCCAATGTTCTGAATGGGCTTTGCCTTATTTTAAAAAGGACTTTTGTTTTTTACTTTTGTAGCTTGGTATAATAACTTCTAAAGCCTTTAAAGGACCATTTCCTACAGAAGAATTGAATATTGCAAAACAAAGATATCATCTTTCTTTTTAAACCAAACCTTGTTCCTCTTATTAAATCAAGACAGCACAGTTAATTTTTTTTCTGCATTACCTTACCTTTCTTTGGTTCAGATTACAACCATACTTTTCCATGCATTTCTATTGAGATTAAATGTGATCTACCAACAAAATACCACATTGATAAATGGAAGGAGAATTCATGATTTTCCCTGTTGTCGAACAGGAAAATCAGCCCTTCAGCTACACCTAAGCCCAGCCTATCAGTATAGCTGTGAGACCATGTCTTTGTGGGTTTTGATCTTAATACTCTTTTTTCAGATAATTGATTGAACTGTGGGATAATAATTTATAACCTCTGGTTTCTGCGTTGGGACACTCATAAAAGAAATGGCTTTTTTTATATGAGATTAAAAATTACACATATTATTAAGATAATATTGTACTCTGGATATAAGTGTGTCACTGTAAAGGTGCCAGGTGTCTCAGATTAGAATATTTCCTGTAAAACATTTGACATTACTTTGCTGCTACTTTACTTTTATATATATCTATTTATGTAGCTGGTGAAGATTCTCAGTCATCCAGGTCATTGTCATTCCAAAAAAGTTAAAAAACACAATCCACTGTACTTTGTTTCCAAGTTTGAAGACGTTTCGTTTACCATCCAGGAAGCTTTTTCTATTAAAAATGTCAGAATTAGTGTTGAGTTCAAAGTTTTATTTAGTAGCCCAAAAACTTGTTTTGGCTTACATTTGCATGTTTCATCAGCCCAAACAAGTTTTTTGGCTAAACAAAATCTGTTTATGTTGGTCTATCGCATATCCTAAAAAAATATGTGTTGAAGTTTAGAATTGTGACTTCACAAAATGTTAAAAAAGGCTCAAAGAGGGTGAATGCTTCTACAATGTGCCATAATATATTCATCCATCATGAACACGTTTCCCTTTTTATCATGCTTATTATCCTTAATGTTGAGGAGGTTCGACAGAAATGCTTCCTTATTTCACACCCTAGACTAAGGAGCCCATTCTGACAGCCTGAACTCCCCACAGTTGTGTGCAAGATGGAAGGAAGATGTGTACAGTAGAGTTACAGCAGCAGCTGTGCTTCCAAAGATGGGAAGGGAGAAAAAAGTAGAAGAGGAGCGAAAGAGAATGCATTCCTGATGGATTTCTCATTTCGGCCTTTGGCCAGGATCTCATCCCATCACTTTCAAGCTTGCCGCTGCTTGTAAAACCCTCAACATATCACACAGAGTTCTTCATCCTCTCTAGGGACCCCTTGCCCCGACAACAACATTAATCAATCATCTGCTAGTAGAAAAAAAAAAGTCTGGGTCACCCCTCTCCTCTTACCCCAGTGGTTCACACTCATTCTAAAACTCCAAACTCCTCACCGCATGCTTAGTGTTCATCACACCACAAACACGCAGCGTTGGTAACTGATTCCACATATGCCACTGTCCATCTTCAAACCCCCCAACATGCACAGATATACACTACTTCTGAATAGGGAAGACATGCAGTTGACTAAGTGATGGAAAACAAATAGTTTCAGCAGAGTTTAGATAAATATTGACTAATATTACTTTAGAAGCTTACATTAATTTTTGCCTTTTATTGACCAGGGCATAAGCAATCCCAATATTGCAAAAGTAGAGCAGAGGGTTTAAATAAATTTTTTTTTATCAGTTTTATGCTTATGCTCATATTTAACATTTTCATAAGTTTATCATTGTTAAACAGAGCTAGCCCATTACCTCAGAAAATTAAACAGACTCTTAGGACCAAGGGAACCATCTCAGCCTCTGAGAGCATAAGGACTGTGACACAAGTCAGGTTTACAAATGGAAATAATATTTTTACAGGTCCATGCAGATCACAAAAACAAAACATGTACTTGAATATTTAAAAATACATGTAAATGTGTGTATTCTGACTGTAAGACCTTTCTGAGAAACCACTTAAAAATGAAATAAAAAAGAAAACTTTTAGATTTTTTTGTCTTTTCCAGATTTGATCTCCATGTATAAATCATGAAATGTTAACATTAGTCACTCAGTTATGCTGAAATTTATGTTTCTAGCTTGCAGTTTAAGCAACAACATTGGTTGCAAAGGTAGTGCATTAAAATCGGTAAAAACAAAACAAAAAAAAGGATGAATTAATAGGAATATTAATTAAACTTTTGGTTGAATTAGCTTAATTTTGGATAAAAAATGAAAGGTCCTCAAATCTAATTTGATTTCTACCCCTATGCATCATTGGGCTCATTCTGTTTAGTCACCATTTAGGACTGTAACACATCACTTACAAGATTTATTTTTTGTATTGATGGATTAGTATTTATGGAAAAGCAAATGAAGAAGTCATCATGAAGAAGTAATAAAGAAGTGCCCAAACACGAGGGCTGGAGAAGAAAGCCGTTGGAGTTACTTCTGTCTCCTTGCTGTTGGATAATAGACTTAAATGATGTCATGTGAAAAGCTGAGGAATTTTGGCGGGGGGGTGTAATTTGTTAATGCTGTTTTCCTCATAATTTAATTCTTTAAGGCTTTGAAAGTTTCAAAAGGTCAATCTAAACTCAATTTTCTGAGAAGGCTAGGGAGAAAAAGGGTACTGGTAGCCAAAATAAATAATACTGAAAGTGGTGCCACAGTCTGCATGTTTTAAGAAACATACGGTTTAAGCACGTTGTTGGAATTTATTTTAAAAGTATCCCAGCCTTAAAATTAACTGTGAATCTTGAATTCACATGTGCACATTCAGCTCCCTACCCCCCACCCCCAATATCGGACAGCTGATAGTGTGAAAGTTTGTCACTGAAATATGAGTTTACATGAGAAGATGTCCACCAGCTGGGCTCCTACGGTGGAGCCCGAATGGCCCTTCATAGGCCAGGAGAAGAGCGACCCTTTGGCCAGAGTGCAAAGCCTCTCTAGCGCAGCTGCAATGACGCATCTTCCAGATGTCATCCAGAAACCAGCCGCAGTGTGAGTCCAAGAGATAAGTTACAGGCGGGGGTCCCACAAACTCACATTTTAACTCAGATTTGTGTGAGCTGTCATGTTTTTTTGGTATCTGTTTGTCTTTTAGGAGGGTGATAATGTGGAAAACAGTTTTTAGGTTGGGAGCAGAGGTAAACCATGAAGCTAACACCTCTGTAAACAAGGTGGTCCCCACGTGGCAGTTAAAGCCTCGTTGTAAATTACAAGCTGAATTTCCCTATGGGTGATGAAAGTTTGGTTTAGCTCTGACTCCAAACATAAACTAATAAACAGAGCTAACAGCCTGGCATCTGCCCTCACCTGCCATTGTATGACCCTCCAAACATCTATCTTGATCAGCCCTGCTTCCTTCTTTGAGTTAACTTCCCTGTGCTCCTTTACCAGCTCAAACCGTGCAATGGTTTTATCATCCTGGCCAACAAATTGTGGGATGTGATCCATATCTCCCAGCAATTAGTTCCAGGCTCTCTCTGTAGAAGGGGACACTGCCAAAGTCCACCTTCTCTGCATCCACTGCAGATGCAGAGCGCCCTGCCACTTTCCTTCTGATAAACCCTCAGTTTTAACAGGGGCAGGAAACAAAGCAGTTTTATGGTGGCCAAGCAATGGATCAGGTGGGAACGCAATAAGAAGGGGAGGGATGTGGAGGCAATAGGCAGTAGGTCGCTGTAAATCAGCTCTTACACATGAAGCAAATTGCATTTGCCTCCTATTTAGGCTGAAGTTTTTAAGAGACAGACGCCTGCATCTCGGCCAGAGCTCATCATCTCAGCATGCTCCTGCCGGCTCACTTTACCAAATCTGTCACATAGGTCCTCTTTCATTACCAATAAAAATCCTCCGTGTAGCTTTTATAGTTAGTTGAATCTAATAAGGCATAAGCACTGCTTTTTATGAAGCATGCAAATCAATTTGTAAAAAGTTTCTTTCTTTATCTGTGACTCACGCTGTTCTGAATGAGATCCTGCAGAAAAGGACTGGAAGTGGCTGTGTGCTAGAATCCTTAGCTGTACATTAAATGTATTTAAATCTTTATGCAGGTAGTTTTAAGCAGGTTAGTGGAAGTGTAAGGTATTCCATGTTAATATTTCCTCCTGGTGGTGCTATCAGTTAAGTTTCAGAGCTGTGAAGGGAATAGTACAGAGTGGTAGCAACTAAACCCAACAGGCAACTGTATTCCCGCCAGTGCGGGTTTACTACTTATAAAGGAATAAATAGGATTTGTGTAGATTGTCGGAAAGAAATTGTTGCAATGCATCACTGTGAATGTTCTAACACTTTCTTATTATTAGAATTTAAATGACTTTGGTACAGTGCTTCTGTACTCCTGATACTTATCAAACTAATCCCACTCTCCTCACAAATTCACACTCCTAGCTACTTTAATTAGCATAGTGCCAGTCTGGAAGGCAAGCAGGGAGGGAATCAGAGGGGAAGAAAGAGGAAAAGGAAAGAGGAGGAGGACATGTGAGGCACGAGAAGAGAAGGAGGGGGTTATATTGCGTGGTATGAGCAGAAGAGGATTTGGTGTGTTGTTGAAGCCAGTTGCATCACCTCTTCTCCTTCTTTATGGGTATGAAGTCAGCAGCACATTTTGTTTTGTCATTATCTGTCGGCTCTTGGTATTCATCAACCGAATGTTGCAAATTGGCTCCTGAAAGGCGTCACATATTCGGGACTTGTCTTTGGTATAAGAATTCATGGAGGATTGTGTAAACAGGCAATTCTCATATGTGAATGATCCTGTTTAAGGGAAACAACGCAGTGGGTTTTCTCTGCAGTGCACTGTTACGCCTTTACATTGTTTGGTTGAGTGTTCGCTATCACTGATCATCCGGGGAAAAAAGATATTTAATCGCTCAGAATCAATTCCTTTGACTAGGACTAAAAAGATTAGGCGAGATGAAGCAATATTGAGCCTATTATGAACCAAGCGCTCAAATTTCATCATTGCACTAAAAATCTCATGATTTATCAGATTCTAGGTTTAAACTTTGCACAAACAGTGCCTTGCAAAAATATTCATTCTTCTTGGATCATAAATGTATTCATCCATTTTGTCCATTTTCAGTGGATGGTTGTGTTCACAAGGCCCCAAATAAACCTTTTTTTGGGTCATATGTATCCCATTGAACACCCTCTTCCCATCCGAATAACCTGATATGTGACAGAGCTCCTACCAATGAAACCTTTGCAATTTTCCAAATGGAAGGGAAACATTTTTAGATTTTAGACATGCATTCTGGTCAAACAAACCTCCAAGGAATTCAGCAGATTTTTAGTAGTGGATATGTTAGATATATCCTTTCCATTCCAGTTCACAGTTATGCACTACTTGGTAAGTCTGTCACATTTCCAAATATAAAGTCACAAAATGATCAGGGATATAAATATTTTAGGGATGCACAGATGCAGCTCAACTCTCCTGTTTCTTTTTGTTCCTCCTTTATTTCTTGACTTTTGATAGACCGCCTGTACCCTTTTGGCTCAACTGGCTTACAACGATCCAGCGATACAAGTCTGTCTAAGAGCACTATATGCTGTGAAAGCTTTTAGTTCATGACATAAGAACGAAATGAAATCCATGTGAATTTCGGCTCCACACTCGTAGGTAAATGGGGGTAACACGGAGGAAGCTCTGCAGCTGTCGGTGCTGCTGCAGAGAATTAAACCGGATTGGAGGAAGTAGAGGAGAATTTCTGTTCCAAGGTGACTTTGTGATCAGGTTCCAGAGCACACAGCCTCAAATCCTCGGCTTCGGGCTGTGTGTCGTAGTCTGTGCAAGAGCTGATGTGTGCAAGTACAAGAAGAATGGGCTGGTAATATATGCATGCTGGTGATAGGGTATGGGCACATGAACAGGCCCACTCGAGCACTTGTTTATCCCTTTCTGTGCTGAGAGTCTGATGACTGTTGGAAAAAGCCACTCAGTCTGTGCCACATGGTTCCCTGTTTCCCCCCATATATTAGACTTGATGCAATGCATGTGCTGTGTGCTTCCTTTTCACCAGAGCTGGCAGAATGTCTGGTTTTATCAAATTAATGTTGCTAATACAAATCTGTTTCAAACTCCAATAAATAAGTTTCATTTTACTGTACATATTTCAAATTGTGTGACAGCTTACATGACATGCAGTGGTTTTGGCTCAGATCATGTCTTTCCCGATTCATACGTATCCAATGTTTTGTAATTCCTTTCTATACAACTCTTTTGTGTGAACCCAATAAGGAAGACTCCTTACTTTGGTCCAAAATCAGACTGTTGTATTATCCCTTCATGGATTCCTTATTTCAACTTTAAATTTGGTACTGTTACTTTTTTGTGCTGTCAGTTTATCTTAATATGTGGACTCAAAAAAAAAACAAAAGAACAAACTTTGCTGTAAACTTATACAGCTACCAAAAAAAAAGGCTAATAACATTTTCTTCCAACTTTATTGCTGACCCTTTCTATATTATTTTCTTTTTTTATAGTTTCTGGTCAACACTTACTTTATTCTTGCATCTATAAATAAATGATAGAAAGAAATGCAATCATTGGTTGTCATCAAAACGACATGAAGTTAGTGCAAAACACTGAAGATGGCTTAACAGCAGTAGGTGCAAAGAACAATTAGACATACTAAAGTAGGCAACAAATATACATTTTACAGTACTGTAGGATACTGCAGACTCTCAGAAGAATTGGTACACACGGTTGATTAAATCCTTTATTGTGAAGCACAAACTGATAATAAAATGTTGAAAGTGGAAAGTACCTTCAACATTCTAGTGTTTTTGTGTCTGCCATGATAAGGCATTGCCTTCCTAAGCTTGGGTGACAAAAGAGGGAAGGAAGTTAAAATGAGCATGAAAGAAGGGGTGGTGTAAGAGGATGAGGTCGAAGGTGAAGTGGCACCACTGGGTGGGGTGATCAGGAGTGTGTGGAGAGAAGGGGGTGCACCTCCCTCAATCCCTACCCCCGACCGTCAGCTCCCCTCCCACCCTTGAGCCAGGCAGCTGTTTGTCTGGCCCAGATGAAGCTTAGTGCAGACCTTGGAGCACGCTCCACTACATCCCAATAGCAGAAATTTGACTGAGCTACAACTCGCATTTGTTTTGTAATAGCTGATTGAATAGATTCAGACTCGGTCTTTAAGAGCAGTTGTGCTTGAGATAAAGGTTTTCTGTTGGTTTTCTACTTGTACACCCTGAGATTTGGCCTTTTCTCGAGAGCTGACATAGTCACCGCCTGTTGCATCTTATCTCCTTCCTTGTAAATTGGTTTAAACATGTAAAAGTCTTTGTGAAACCAACAACTGTGTGGAAAAAGAACCACATTTGAATTAAGATCTCTGCAAGGCTGAGATCCCTTGTAGACCAATACAAGTCTATATGTATATTTGAGTGCACAAAAAAGAGGCAGGCCCCCAGAATGCAGAGTACGTCTCTGTGTAAGTCCCCTTGAAAGTGTCCCTCTTTAAGACCTGTTTAAAAGGGACGCCCCCTCTTTGTGTCCACTGTTCTCGGTGGCGTACGGAGAGCCTTTTGTCCCCCTCTTTCATGTGCTCTCACAATAGCGTTGGCCGTTTGAAACACAACAGTAGATGAACTGTGCTGACAGTGTATTAAACTCTGATGAATTGCCTGTGCGAGGCATAGATCAATGTCCTTCAACCCCAAGCACACAGCGAAGCCCAGGCCTTGTCTCGGCTAAATGGAACAGGTTGCTGGCTCTTTTCAAAAGGCGCCTGATTATATTCATGTTTTGTTGAAGCAGAAGCCTTTTTAAAATGTGTAAATCTTTGCCATTCTGAAGACTCCCTATTTTCTACCCCTTTCATTTAGAAAAGTGACATTGAGATGCTGCTCATTTTGTTGGAGTTCTACTTTTTTTACTTCTGAAGTCTGCTTTCACAGCAAAAATAAACCTGTTGTAGACTAGTTATATCCTGGAAGCAAACAGCCTTTACCCAAGGCATCTCAGGCATACTTAAGAAATCAAATGCACACTAGGGGGCCTGTCTCTGACCTTTTTGCAACTTCTCCCTTCTGAAGGAAGCTTAGGATTGCCTGTTTACACAGATCACAACCACTTAAGAACAACAGACTTTGGCCACCAAGCTCTAAAAAGGGATGCAGACCATCAAGAACCTGAAGCATTACTACTACATACTCTGTAATGTTGATCACAGGTGGCAGAACTCCACTGGTACACTAAACATTAGCTTATTTTTTAACCAACTTTTATTCATCTTGCAGGTCTGGTTTAGCAACAGGCGGGCTCGATGGCGCAAGCAGGCCGGCGCCAATCAGTTAGCAGCCTTCAACCATCTGCTTCCTGGAGGATTCCCACCCACAGGGATGCCAACTCTACCCACCTACCAGTTGCCGGAGACCAGCTACCCCAGCACTACGCTATCGCAGGGTAAGTAACTGATGCAGCCTGTAATCCAAGAATATACTGAATGCTCTCTTTAATTGTTTTAACCCAATTTAGGTAAAAATTGCATTAGTGGTGTTTATTTGTGGTATGTCATCCCCATATTTCATATACATTTCATGCATCATGTGCTGCATATAAGAAGCATACAGCTGCTAGTTATCTTTATAATCACATCTTTGTTACACTCAAAAATAAACAATTTTTCCATTATAAGCAGGGGTTAAGTGGAGGCTTTACACTTTTTATTAAAGAAAACATTTTTTAAAGATTATTCTGGAAACATACAGCCCCATAATGCTTTAAGTTTAAAAATCTAAGGCTTGAATGACCTCCTAATGAAAAAGTAATGCTAATGACCTAAAAATGTGATTGTAGTGGGAAATCAGTTTTCATAAACCTTCCAAAACCTTCCGCCTAAAGGGTTAGGCGGAAGGTTTTGGTTCAACCTTCTAAAGGTTTGCTGCCCCACCAAGAGGTGTGGATCTCTACAGCTCCTCCAGAGATATCAAGGGCCTCATGATTGCCTCTCTGAATAATATTCTTACTGCCCAAAACTTTAGATACACAAGTTGAGTTGAACAGCTATGTTAGAATGTTTGTTGTGTCAAAGTCTCTTTATTTTCAAATTATCAGTTAAATTGAGCTCTGTGACAAATCCAAAGCTTGGAAAATGTATGTGTGCTGACTCTGTTTTACACGGCTTTATCTCCGAACTACATAAAGTGTTTCTTGGTCCTGACAATATTTTTTGCTTATTTATGTTAATCTATTAAATACTTTTATTTATCCATGAAATCTATGAAAATGTTTAAAGATTCATGTTTTTGTGGAACAGAGCCTTATTGATCTTGCTTTTTTTTGTGTGTGTGTACATATCAGAGGGCAGCAGCACATTGCACAGGCCCCAGCCCCTGCCACCATCTTCCATGCACCAGGGAGGTCTGAGCGCTGACAGCAGCTCCGCTTACGGCTTGTCGTCCAATCGCCACAGCTTCTCCAGCTACTCCGATACGTTCATGAGCCCCTCTGCATCCAGCAACCACATGAACCCTGTTGGCAATGGGCTCTCCCCACAGGTCAGACCAGCAGCCCTTTAAGGCCTGCTGCCATGTCTTGTTCTCTCATAGGTGTCGATAACGTTCTTTATTCCCCAGCTTTCCTCCTCCTCTCTCGGCTAAGGATATGTAATTGCATTTTTTTTCACCGAAATTAAGATTCAGAAACAGCATGTTCAGCGAAAATAACTGCCAGTGTGGGCTTTTATGTTCGCCTTTCCAAAGCCCTGGATTTATTTTAGCTACCCCAAATTGCTACATTTGTAAAACAATTGGATTAACATCAACAAATTAAAATTCATCTTGATAGCAACCAGAAGTGCTCGAGCTGCTCCAAACAGCGTTTTTCTACTTCCCTGGGACATCTAAATCCTGCACCGAGCTGAGAGAGCACATGCAGATGAAATAATTAGCTAAAGCTTATAAATGTGGACCCATAATCTGCTTCACGTAATTGTGTGCAGCTCGAAGACTCCAGTGCCTTGTGTGATTTTTCTGCTTGTCTCTTATGCTGCACAGTTTTTAGGCCTCTTTATATACAGAGTGAACCTTAATTTTTACCATGTGAACTTAATGCTTGGATTGCATGTAAAGATTTACTTTCATTCTTTTTTCAAAAGCCTTTGGTTTCAGCTGTTAACATCTTTTGGATATCCCTTCATTAATGAGCATTTAAATGCGTCTCTGTCTGGTAAGGGTTGAGCTTTAAGTAGCACAGAATGGAAAATGATTTGTATTGATGCAAATCGTGTGTACGGAGTGAATTATACACAATTACCCATCAATACTGGCCAGTCTTGCCCACCCTCACCAACAAGATGTGGTTAACAGGCAGAAAATAAGATTGAAATGGTGTGTAAAGAGTTGAAAATGAATTTCAATGCTGCATTTGTCCACAATTACCCCGTCGTTCACACATGTTTTATTGGGAGTTTTTTTTTTTCTCCTTCCTTCAAATATTTCTCAAAGCAGATTGGAAACATTCTTGGTATTACCCTCTTTCTTCAGAGAAGAAAGAATTAAGGATTTTGTGACAAAAAAGAGATTTTCTCTCCTGCTGGAGCGACGAAGGATAACATGGAGGCTCACAGCGTGTTTGATTGTTAATCGTGGCACAGGGGTTTTAACTGCTAATGCTCTCACTGCAAACCTGCCGAAAAAACACCAGGAACATGGAGCCTTTTATTATTATTATCATTAATGGGTCTCTCTAATACTGGCATGGGGTGCACTGTCGCTTTCCTTTCCCCCCCGTCAGAGCAGTTAAAGAATGTATTGGGATATTAAACATTTCCTGTCACAGTGGGGATTAGGATGTGAGAGTTTGGGCAGCTGTACAGTGCGGATTTCCAGTTTTCAATTACTCAATCAAAAGTGACTGATAGAGCCTACACCTAATGTGAGTTTGGACTGTTTTTCAGGGGTTTATTTGAATAAAGCTTAAAGTTAAAGTGTTGATTCTTTCCACGTGCTTCTGCAGGATGTTTGTGCTTCATAGAGGTGAAATGATTTGAATGCATCCAGATTGCTGTGTGGCATTCCTATCAGTGTCCCAGCATGGAGATGGATGCTCCCGCTGATACCAAAATCAGAGTTTGCTCACCAGTGCAGCTTCCTGCTGTGCTGGGCAGATATTCTTTCTCCACAAAGCAAAACACTTAAAAACTAAACAATAAACCTTCTGGTTAAATTTACTATTTTCTTTCTCTTGCATTTAACCAAATTCCAATCAACAACCAGAAGTTGCAATTTCACTTTCAAGATGTTCTCTCTCCTTTCATGAAATTGGCCAAAAAAAGCAGAATCTATAGAGATGGAAATGAGAAACTGATATTTTAAGTTGCAGACACAGTCTGTTTGCAGGAGATATGCTTGTGCATTGGCATGTGCAAGCCATTCCCTCAAGTGTCTGGTACTGATGGCCTTGCAGTTGCTGTAAAGATTGACAAAAATTCTGTGATTCACAGTAAATGGACTGCGGTCGCGAGATGCCAAATCTGTAATGGAATCCTGCAGCGTTGAACAGTCCTGACAGGAGCCCACGTCCATCCCAATTCCATGACCCATCCCAAAAGCACGCATCTCTGCCCATTACAGGCGGTGGGAGAAAAGCTATCCACAGTCCATAATGGCGGCTGTTGTTGCGGGGTATACAACATGTTTGGCTAGTTGAGGGTGCAGGGGTTGGGGTGGGGGAGCGCGGTCAAAAGTATATTAAAGGATCTTGAAAGCAAAGCTGTGCCTGGCTGGGCAAAAGGTATGAAACCAGAAGTGTGTTTTGTTGTTGGTCATGTTTCATTTAGTGGCTCAGCAGGTGTTGGAAAAAGGAGAAAGCAGGGGCATGAAGGACGACCATCCCTGCATTTTTTGTCATGCTCAACTGAACATATAGTCAGAGACTGAGTGCAATATGGACCGACAATATGAGATTTGGATTTCTTCAGAAAAAAAACATAAAATCGAATATGCTTTACTCATCTCACAAGGAGACTTTGTTCCTCCAGCAATGTTAATTAATCTTGGCTGTAATCGAATTATGTTACTCTTGACATATCCAGATGTGTCACTGACCTTTTGGCAACCGAAATAAACCAAACCAACGATGGAAACAGTATTCTGTAAAAGCGCGTCGGGATTAAATGACAGCAGATAACAGCAAGTAGCAGTTTGCTCCATTTTATACGTTTGAAATTTCGAATACTTTAGCCTACTATGACTAAGATGCTAGATTATCAAGGTTTGCAATCACCTCGAAATCTCACAGTCAAGGTAAGGGCTGTCTATTTTAAAAGGAAACACAAACAGAACTGCATGTTTCACTATTGTAATGTCAATTATGCTAATCATGCTTAAAGCTGATGGAGATGGATGTAAAGAAAAGTTAAAGATCTGTACCATACAAAGCAAAATAATACAATCATTTTCTTTTGATTTGAAGAAGTAGTGAAATCCTGTTTAATGTCAGGGCTGTGCAACATGTACAGCACACAGTGTGACATCATCTTTGATCTTTACGTAAGTAAGGGATGATCACCTATGGAATGGTTTTTTAAGGCTGTGGTACAGTTATAATAGATGCAAAAAAATGAAGGAATCATTTAACAATCTATAACAGGAGAGTAAGACAGAGCTGCTTCTAAATTAATACAGTGGTCACTTGAGTTATTTTTTTAATTGATCTGGTGCAAAACTGTCTTCATTAAAAAAAAAAAGAAATGGATGAGATGTGCTGTAATTGTAGCTCCATAATAATGTCACACTGAAACAATTCTTTACTTATCTTGTACTTACGAATTATAATTTTACCCATACTTTATGATTTTCCCATTTGGTCAGTTAAAGTAAGACAGATAAGGCCAATTGATTGAAGCAACATATTTCTCCGTCAAGTAGCCCACAAATAGAATGTATGGAATCATTTATAACCAAGACAGACATGAAGCAACCCAACTACAAAGATAAAAAAAAAAAAAAATGACCTGCAGACTGTCTGGGTTTTATTTCTACTTTTATACCATTTTTTTAAGTTGTAGTGGTAAATTTATCCGTAATGCAAAGATAGACAACTCTGTTAAAGGTATCATGGAGAATTTTCAAAAATTTTCTGAAAAGACCCGCCCTCTCCACTTAAAAAAAGAATGCACATGCCCAACCCCGTACCCGCTCCCGATAGGAAACGTCTATTAAACGCATATGCGAGAATTCACGAGCCAATTTTTCCTCGTGCACGCTCTGTTGAAACGTTGCTGTTTGCATCGCTCATTTAAGCTTACTTTCCAAAAGCAGATTTGCAATTTTTCATCTACTGTATGTCAGCGTCACCACCAATAAGTGAAAATCGGGACAAGCATGTAGGACAGCCTTTTGTAAACATATCACCCAATGATTGACAATTAGGAGGACCACTTATTTTGATAATCCACCCAGAAAAAGAACATCCTCCACTATACCTTTATTGTTAAAATGTTGTTATATTATATTTTTATGGATAGGTTTTAATCATTTCACACACTAGAATAGAATGTATCTCTTAAATAAAACTTCCAAATGGCAGGTCAGAGCCATGAAAAGAAAAAATCAGTAATTAGAAATGAAAACAAATGCAAGAAACGATTATGAAATCAAGCTCATACATTTTCACATAACACCAGAGCCTAAATACCATCAGTAACAGATGAAAAGTGAATTCCATAGAAAGGTGTTCACAGTTCCTTTCCTTGTAAAGAGGCATGATGGAGCAAGAGTGAAGCTGTTAACTCGATAGGTACGGTGGATAGTCTGATAAAGGAACTTCATAAAGTTTTATAAGAAACTTTTCTTTCCTGTTTTGCAGTTTTGTGAAACTGTTGTGTGTTTTGGAATGACAAGGATGTGTATGTGTGTGAGGAGGGCCTTTGGGCTGTGTGAGTGGGCTGGGGCCTACACACTCACACTTGCGCACACACAAATGTACACGGGATCAGAGGCAGAGCGGCTCTCACCCCTGCCTCCCTTTGATCTGTGTCCCCAGGCCTGCCTGCCCGCGCGGCGCTGCACCGTACCACGCACACTGACACCATGCTCACCAGCGACTCCCCACAACTGTCTAAGCGAGATAAGCCAGGGGAGACTCCAAACTGTGCTGCTGCTCTTCCATTAGCTACTGCAGACGCTTCTTTTAAAAATGGGATGAATTATTTTTAAGAAGCTAGCTCTGCTGTTGCCAAAAAAAAAAAAAAAATGGAGAGCGAGGGGGGCGAATGTACAGAACAATCCGGGGCTCTGGCTTCATTCCGCCTCCCTCCCTGACTTCTAACAAGACATCCTGCACCTGAATACCAATGAGAGGGGGAGATTCATGTAGTCCCCCACATTATTAAAACTTGGGCATTAAGCCTCTCACCGGGCACTGTGTCAGCTGGCAGCCTCCACTGACAACAAATCAAAGGGGATGAGCACATAGCCTGCATTCACGGCTCAGCCACTCGCAGAGCAAGTGGGGGAATACATACTGGTTAATTAGAACTCCCATTAAAACAAAT